TCAAAATTAAGAAAATAATGCAATTTAAAAACAGGCCAAAGACCTTAATAGACACCCACTAAAAAAACAAAGATGGCAAATAAGCATACGAAGAGTTTTCATATCATGTGTCATCACGGAAATGCAAATTAAAACAATGAAATGCCACTGCATGCCTATTAATGACCCAAATCCTGACAACAGACAACAGCAAGTGCTCGCAAGGATATGGAGCCACAGGAAAGCTCATTCATTTCCGGTGGGAATGCAAACTAGTATAGCCACTTTGGAGGACAGTTTTAACAGTTTTCCAAAAAATGATACACAGTCTTACTACATGATCTAGCAGCCTCCTTGGTATTTACCCAAATTAGTTAAAAACTTAGGTACACAACAAAACCTTGCACACAGATGTTTACAGCAGCTCCCAAACCTGGAAGCAGTCAAGATGCTCTTCAGGAGATGAATGGACAAACAAGCCATTATCCATCCAGACAATGCTATTACTCAGTGCTAAAATGAGATGAGTTTCAAGTCATGAAAAGACATGAAGCAACCTTAAATAAATCTCACTAAGTAAAAGAAGCTTGTCTGAAAAGGCTACAAACTATACAATTCCAATTATGGAACCTTCTGGAAAAGGCAAAACAATGGAGACAGTAAAAAGGTCAGGGATGTGGGGGGGATGACAATGCTGAGTGAGTTGTAGGATAGGATACCACAATGTGGACACGTCATTATACATGTGTCCAAACCACAGAATGTTCAACAGCCTAATGTGAACTCTTAGGTGTACTATGGACTCTGGGCAACAAAATGATGAGTCAGTGTATGTTCAAATTGTAACAAATGTATCCTTATTGTGCAGCATGTTGACCATGGGGGATATCATGCATGTGTGGGGCTGGGGATGAGGTACTGCTAAGCAGTACTATTAAAAATAGAACATAATTATAGATTGACAGTTTAAGGAGGAACTATTTTCTTTCCTGAGTCCTAAGCCATGATTTGGCAATACCCACAGTGGTCATGAGGGGCTGCATCCACAGTGTAAGCCACTCTGGGCTTTGGTGGGATGGACAGTTGAGGACACAGCTACTAGCCAGCCTGGTCCCTAGGACTTGAGACCCCCTGGACACATCCTCTTTCTTTCCATAGCTCCTCAGCCAAGTTCTCTGGGTCCACCTGAGCTGTCTCATCCCAGTGCTAGGTCACTTCTGCAAGGGATGGTGATGACCTGCAGCCTGCCTGCCTGCCAGGATCATCCATGTCATGAAGCGGCAGCACCAGGTACCCTGGATCTGTCACTACCTCATGTGCATGGCACCAAACAGGAGACCCACTCTGGCCTCTGGTCCTGCCTTGGAACTCCAGGGAGAAACTTTGCTTATTACAAAATCTGGAGGATCTGCACTAATAATCCACATAGTGGGCAAGGTAACTTTTGACTCCTTAAACAGAGCTTTCCATGAGGGACAGTGGGGCAGACCCACAAACTGCACTCACCATTTACATTGTCACTCTTGCCTGCACACTGGGTAGGACAACTCATAGGTCTTACAGCGTTATATCAGTAACCACGCAGATAAGCCTGTCCCAGACTCTTCTTGCATGCTCACTTCTACCATGTTTCCTCTGGAGTTTGCCCTGGAATCAGAGCCAAAGTCGCAAAGTGAGTCCTGTTGTACCAGTGACAAGAGGTCACTTGGCAGAGGAAACAGCACCTGCATTTTTTGGAAATCATTTGTTTGCTCTACCTGCCTCCCAGAGCCATATCAGCAAGTCCATTTTTTAGGTGAAGAGACTAAGGGCTGGGGTTAATGACTTTCATCAAGTGAGACAGCAGATGATGCCAGAACTGAATTCAGACCTTATGAGTTCAATCAAGGGCCCTTTCCTCATGACCCCAGGACTGGAGAGATAGGTAGTGCCTCCATCAGAACCAGTCACAAGGAGTCCATGGTAAGGGCCTTTGACCTAGAATTTAGGAGGAATGGACTCAGTAAGGGGGGAGAGTGAGTTATTGCAAAACCTGTCAATCAATCGCAACAAATTCCTTAAGTGAGCAAGGCTGACTGGCATTATGCAACAGGGAGTGGTGGAGACTGTGACAAGAGAGGAAAGAGAGTCCTGATAAAGGGGAAGAGAAGCCCTGCTCCAGTCACTGCCACTTGCAGATGTGGATCTAGAAATTCCGGAGCTCTTGATTTTAGATTAAAGTCAGAAACTCATATTTTAATCGAATTTTACCTGATTAAAGATAATTAATTATGAGTGGGCCACATAATGTATGTGTTTCAGGCAAAGGCTGAGCCAAGCAGGTCTCCAGATATCCTGGAGCTGTCTTCCTTCCAGGTACTAATGATGCTAATGGCTATCATTTCCTAAATTCCAAACATGACATATCTGTTCATGGGTGCAAAGATCTTCATCTTTTTCTTTTCACCCGGAGACCAAGCACGCAAGGTGACTATTCCCCCCATTTTATAGATTTGAAAACTAAAGTTCAGAGAGAATAAGTAAATTGCCTGAGGTTTAACAGACATAAAATTAGCAGAGCTGAGACTGAAATTCAGGTTACTCAAACAGAAGCTTTCTGCTTTTTCTACTTCTAGTCTATATAAGTGATCTGCCATATGTAAAAGGTGCTATAATAGAAATGTCTGTTTCTTGATTCTGCCAAGTTCCTATTCTGGCATCAACTTCAACTACTTAGTCAACATGTATCCTACAGGAGAAAATATTTCCAAATTACATATCTGATAAGGAGTTAACGTCCAAAATATATAAAGAATTGATACTATTAAAAAAAATCTGACTAAAAATGGGCAGAGGATCTAATCAGATATTTTTCCAAAGAAGACATGATGTATAGCAGATATATGAAGAGGTGTTGAACATCATTAATTTTCAGGGAAATGCAAATCAAACCCACAATAAGATATTGCCTCATACCTGTGAGAATGGCTTCTATCAAAAAGCAAGAAATAACGTGTTGGTGAGGATGTGGAGAAAAGGAAACTTTTATTCACTGTTGACAGGAGTGTAAATTGGTGCAGTTGCTGTGGAAAACAGTATGGAGATTCCTCAAATATGAACAATAAGACTACCATATAGTCCAGCAGTTCAACTTCTGCTTTGGGTATTTGCCCAAAGAAAATAAAAAACACTTAACTCAAAAAGATAAATGCACCCCCCCCATGTTCACTGCAGCATTTATTTACAACAACCAAAATATGAAAGCAACCCAAGTGTCCATCAATAAAAGAGTAAACAAAATATGCCATATATATTTGTGCACACACAGAGTATACACAGAGTGGAATATAACTTATATACAAAAAAGGAAATCCCACCATTTGTGACAGCACAGATGGGCCATTGCACTAATTCAAATAAGCCAGACTGAGAAAGACAAGTACCGCATAGTCTCACTTATGTGGAATCTAGAAAACAAAACAAAACAAAGGTAATTAACATCCCCTCCCCTCAGTAAACTCAAAAACAGAGAATAGATTTGTGGTTTCCAGAGGTGGGAAGTGGGGGAAATGGTGAAGGGATTCAAAAGATATAAACTTTCAGATATAAAATGAGTAAGTTCTGTGGAGTGTATGTGCAGCCTGATGACTACAGTCATCGTGTCTGGGTGTCACCCTTCGGGGCCCCACTACTGAGAGAAGATCTTAAAAATTCTCACAAGAGGGCCTCCCCAGTGGTGTGGTGGGTTGAACGCAGCACTGTGAAGATGTCTGCAACCTCTGCAGTATGGATTTGATTCCCGGCTGGCCAGGGAGATACCCACATGGCGTGGCAGACCTCTCCTGTCTCGCCCACGGCTCCCCTCACCAGTGTATTTCAATCAATCTGCCTGTTCTGTTCCCCACTCTGTCTATGGTGAGTCCTCTTGCCCTCCCAGCTCTTGTATAAATAAAAAAAAATAAATTTTTTAAGAATTAAAAAAAAATTCTCACAAGAAAAAAAACTGTTTATGTGAGGTAATGGATATTAACTATGCCTTATTGTGGTGATCACAATATATTAAAATATGGAATCATTTACACTGTCAAACTGAAGTGAACATACTATTTTATGTCAATTAGATCTCATGTTAAAACCCTCCAAGTATCCTAAGAATTACAGGGAGACCCTACTCTGCCCCTGCCTGTTTCTCTACCTTGGCCTGACCACAAGTTTACTGTCAACTGTTTTCTACCTCCACCCAGGGGCACCTCCCCACCCCCAGTCCAGCCCCTCCAGGCAGCAACAGGAATGATGGCTATGGCCAGTGGCAGGCGCAGGATTTGACCAGCATTGCCTATGTCTCTCCATCGGGTGGGCATGAGGGTCCTCTAGGAGACGTGGGCAGGGCAGGTGCTGTGTGTCACCCTCCAAGACCCCACAGCCTTAACTCAAGTTTCAGGATGCCCCTTTGGTTTTGTGTCTAAGCCCTTCTCTCCATTCTTTCCAGTCTTTCCAGCCATGAAGGGGCATCATAAGCCTGGTTCTATTGCATTGTCCCAGATCTTAGCCAGCAGGGTAAAGGAGTAAGTCCCAGATGGACACTACAGTGCTGCCTGGGGCGAGCAAACCTTCTGCTGGCACCTTGAGACATTTCCTGGGAGGGAGGCATCTGTACCCCTCCAACCAGGAAGGTGCCCGGGCAGCTTCTGAGGCTGGCTACTCCTGCCAGTTGCTGAGGGGCCCCTGAGTAAACTCTTCTGCTTCTTAAACAGAAGAAGGAAATAAGGAGAAGTCATCTTGCATACAAAAAATATTCAAGATGCTTTTCTTTTAAAAGTACCAACCAGTCAGACACTGTGGG